CATAGTGATCGTTTGATATATGGACCTGCAGCGGAGTTTAGACCCAGACACGGCTAGTGACGTCAGACTGAACAACCGGATGACTGAAAGCAGGAGGAGGAGCAGTCTCCTCAAATGTCACAAATACAAAAAAAATCTGATTCAGAATGAAAACAAATGAAAAGCAGGAAAACAGCTGATGCCTGCAGGCGCTCCAGAGTTTAGCACTGAGATGTAAACTGAACTTTGTCTGCGGCCGAGGTGACTTAACAAACATGCAGTTACTGAATTTGAAACAGGATTTCCTTTGAACTTTGAAATTCAATAAGAAGACACGATTTGAAAGAATTGAATCTAATTTATTTAGTTTAAGTAATACATTTTTTGGTGATTAGACTCAGATGAAGCTCCACAGCAGGTCAGAGTCCTGGTGAAAGATTGGCCTGGAGCAGAGTCATGAAGACTTGGCTGAGTTTAATAGTGTGGTCAGAAGAGACGATGTATAGTCTAGCAGCCCAAACACCTGAGAGCGCAGGTAGATGAGTGAATACAGATGTTTCTTACTGAACCTGTATAATAAGAGGTTAAAGAGCTGAAGGTGGCTGTTTGAAGCCCCAATCCAACCAGCTGCTGGCCTCCGTGGTGACAGAGACCTGCACCGCAGCCGGGGTAAAATCTAGCTTATGGTCACCGTTTGCGTTACACTCTGATATCACCACAGCCCTGTAACACTGGCGTTCGACTCACTGCAGTCTCCTGCTGAAATACAGGTGTGACGGCAAACTCGAGCTGCTGGGACTGATGGTTCAAAGCTGTTTGAAAGGTTACAGTTTCACCCCGCCTGCATTCAGTCGTTAAGCTAAGCTAGGCTAACCGTGACCAGCTCCATATTCAGCCCACGCACTGACTGACGCTGTTTACCTGTACGTTGAAAGGTGCATGCACAGAACCACGCACTGTATTTATAGGCATGCCAGCTTTTCTGGGCGATCGCTCGGTAAACCTAACGCAGTTCTTCCTGAATCCCTTTAAGTAAGTTGTAGAGTAGATGTTTGCTCAGCAGCGAATCACCTGCGAGTGTTCAGCAGAGAGAGAGAGAGTTCATGCACAGATGAGCAGCAAAAAGCCATCAACGGTGACCGGGACTCAGGTGGCGAGCGCGGGAGGAAGCCGGCTGCTCGTGGACTTGTATGAAAATGTAAATATCAGATCATCTGCTCTGCGGCACATCCCGTTAGAGCTAATTTGATGTTGAAGTCGCTTTGGTAGGTTTTGACCCACACACGAGAGGATCGAGGACAGGCACGAGGAAGTGTGACGATGGAGGTGAAATTTAGCATCTCCTGACATTTGGAGCCTTTTCTCTTCTTTACGTGGGGGCGGTCTGCTCCGTGGACTTGCTCTTTTCCTTCCTGTTCCCACCACTTCCCCCATTCCCACCAGGGAGCCGGCAGGAGCTGCTGGACGCTGATCAGTAGGAGGTGAAGTGCCTGCGAACCAGAAGGTGCTCTGTTTCCTCCTCCATTATTTATCACTTCCAGCCTCCTCTTCATTCAAGCGCTACGTGAGGCTCGGTGTCCAGCGAGCGCCTCGCTTTGATCTCTTGCAGCCCGGCAGATGCTCGCAGAGAGGATCGCAGCTCCTCCTGCTGCTGCTGTGCCGTTCACGGGGAGTCTCTTTGAAGCTCCAAGTCTTTTGCTAAAATGAGCTCGGTTTAACGCCCAGCGTTTAGGACAGTGTGCCGAGCTGTCTGCGACACCAGCAGCTGGGCTCTGCTGAAACGCTCAGTAAAGGGTTTTTATTTGGTGGCACAAAGAACCAGCATTGAAATAAATGCCATACCAAAACAGATGAAAATTTCAGCTCTGATAATTAGTTCCGATTTTTGGATGAAGCATCTAAAATTTCACTCAGCAAAACTGGAGCTCAGACTTCATGGACTGTCTGCTAGCATGAATGACCTCACAGCAGCCGTATTATTGGTCACATGATGCCATTAAAAATACTCCAAAAGGCTCAAACATCACAAACGCGACCCAGAGGTCCAGTTCAGGGACTCCAGTTAGCTGAGGTGAAGCCTAGCAGACCACTAGCACCTACAGCCACCTGTGTCACCGTCCACCTGTCAGTCAAAGAGGCCACGCCCCTAACCCCTAATTGGTGGTGAGACCAGTGTCTGTATCAGGCTGTAAACGTGCTTCTTTCTGATGTAAAGTTGCACATTTTAACACAGACTCTGTTTTTGGCACTTCGGCGTTGTGCTTCCAGCTTCCAGCCCTCTAACTGGCTGCTTGGTTGACATACTGGTGGAGCTTCCAACTGAAAATGCTGCAGCAATTTGGCAGCTTTTTAAGGCTCAGTGTGTGATGAGCAGAGAAGGTGAGAGGTTTGGAAACCAAATAAATGATGTGGCACAGCTCTTAGAGAAAGACTCAGATGTCTTTACATCTGTAGTAACAGAATTACCATGTTTGTGCATTTAAACCTCCTTTCTTCTCCGGCCAGTACAGAGTTGGCTTCTGTTATTTCCCATATGGATGCTGTGCAAGTCCAAACTGCCGTCGATAACGCAGGAAGATTAATTTGTGGAAACTCAAGTTCAGTGCATGAAGTGTTATTGTAACCGTCACTGCATTGATAATATAAAAACGCATCTTTTGGGTCTGAAGTGAAGCCAGTGCACAAGTGCCTTAAAGCTGCGTTCTTTCTGCAGGGGGCTGCAGCTCACACTTCGGGAATCAGTGATGCAGAAATGTTTTAAAAGCCTTTTAATGTTGACAAAATAAAGCAAGGAGTTAATTTAGTAAATTACGGCCATGTTGGACTCAGAAAAGGATGTTAATCCAATGAGCTTGCAGTGTGCTTCAGTTTGTGTGCTCACGCATCACATCCGGTCTCAAAACGCAGAGGTGGCGACGGTGAAAAACGTCTCGAGGCGTTAAACAGGACTTGATGTGCTGAGTCCGTCTTTCGTACGTGTGCTGGATTCGGATCAGATTGGATACCGTGCTGACTCGCGGCTCCATCTTGTGGTTCAAACTGGAATTGCATGAAAATGCAGCTCCGTGATCGCACAAGCTCCTGTGCTTCCTGCTGCTAGTTTTACACGAATCACGTTTAAGGCACCGGTTTTGTCACAGCGCTTCGACCTCTGACCTCGATCCTCAGGTGGCTTCTAGCTCTCACTAGCTGTAGCTGAGACAGCAACGGGAGAGAAAAGCTGGGTCTGGACAGACTCTTCCCCCCTCGCTCGCTCTCGGAGGGTTTTCTGTGTGAGCGAGGCAAAGACAGGCTGCAGTGGGTGGTCGGGTTTATTTACTAGAGGGCAAATCTCCTCCTCAAGGTCAAGAGCACAAAGAGCACAAGCACAGGTAGAGTAGCTGTCACGTGATCCTCCATGATGTGACGACTCATTGTTGTCCTCATCAGCTGTCGTTGTGTTGTGTTGTTCTGCTCTGTGTGCGTCCTGTGAGACCAACCTCCTCGTACTAAACCACTGAACACACGTGCAGCATTTAACCCTTTTATGTGACTGTTGCTTCTTCTTTTTTCCAATTTTTTAATCCTTTTTTTCGATCTCTTCTGTTATCATTTACCAGACAAAAAGGCGGGAAACGTGTGAGGCCACACAAAGAGGATTAGAACTGCCCGGGATTCGCTGAGCAAGGAGCTCTGAGCCCCACCCCCACCCCCCAACTCCTCCACTTTCTTGTCCTCTTATTTCCTCCCCGTCCTCCTCCTCTCTCCCTTCATCCCTCCCAATAAATGGAGTAATCACGTGTTATCAACCCAACATGAGAAACGAGAGACGGAGAGAAAGATGCAATTCATGTAGATGAGAAGAAAAATGATTACTCGGAAAGCAATAATTCAAGCCCTTCTTTTTGTCCATCCATCCGTCATCCATCCATCCTTCATCCATCCATCTTTCATCCATCTACCCCCTCTGTCCGATACAAACATCCAGTCTTTTCTTTTCTTAATCCTTTCTTTGCTTGTCTGTGAGATTTTATATTGTCTACGAGAGAAAATGAAGAATAAAAAATGAAAATCGAGACATTCCACTTTCCTCCCCCTTCTCTTCCCGAAGCTCTGCCGACTCCTGATTGGTGGATTACATAAAAAAAAAAAAAAAAAGAGAGAAAAAGACTGTTAGTTTTATATCGACGGCCATTTTGGTTTGTAGTCCCCCCTCTCCTCCTCCTCTTCCTCCTCCTCTTCTTCTTCCTCCCCATCTTTGCCCCCCGTAGATATTTGACAGTACAGCAGGACCATGTTGCTTCCATATATAAACCGCCCCAAGGACTGCCACTTCCCCACCAACACTGCAATGTCTTCAGCTCTGTGTGTTTAATGTTTTTAGACTGTTATATTGTGTACATGAATTTAAAACAAAGGAAAAAAAAAAAAGAAAATCCATCATTGAATATTAAAGTCAAACTGTTTCTTTTTGTTTGTTTTGTTCCCGTTTGGTTTCAATTCTTCTTTTGTTTTTATTTTTTAAAAACATCTTCTCACTATTACCGACGATTATGCTGTAATTAAAATAATAATAATAATAATGATGTTTTGTTGGTCCAAGTTTTCACATGTCCGCTAGCAAATTGTCAAGAAAAGAAATAGTACAATAAAGACTAAAATCTAACAACTAAACTGCAGGTTTCTATTTTTATCTGCACGCCTGAAGGCTCCTATGGTTTGAGGGGAGGGCGGGGCGATATGCTGAAATATGATTGGGCGCTCGTTAATCTGCATATCGATAATCTCATCCTTTTACGTAACGGGTGGAATAATACGAGATTTCTTTGTATTAAAGTAGATCTGCGTGTATTATCTGGCAGCAGGCGGCTGCTGCTTCCTGCGGACGGTCCAGGACGTCCGTATGCCGGACGCTGGTGTCGCACAGGTGGATCAAAACTTTATAAAGGACTCGGCGACCTCTGCAACATCTTCATTTTAAATAAAGCATCACGTTTGTGCAAGTAGAGTGAAAGCAGTCCATGCTGTCAGTAGCCATTTAGCATATTCATTTTAGTTCTAGTTAATGAAGTTGGGCAAAGTTTAACTGTCACGTTCCCTCAGTTACACAGAAGGGCCTCATAGTGGCTGAAATCCAGGAACAACACACATCAAAGACGCAGGATGAAGCAAGAATGCAGATCATAAAATAATGTTTGTTCATGAACAACACAAGCAGAATGAATGTGTTTTATATAAACTCATCAGGTACCTACACAACAGGTGAGGGCTTGCAGGACCTGATACCATCACACAACAGGAAACCGGCTAGTTCATGATCCTATCATTTGGGGCTTGATACCCATTCTCAGGGTGGGGGTGATGGCGTCTCCCCCCTGACCTGCCGTCCTGGCTCCTCCTTGCCGTAGCGTGATGTTCCTCATCAATCTCTAGCCGTGAGAGTGGTCCCCTCCTCCACACAGCTGGAATTGAACTTGCAACTCCCACTCCAAAGGCATGTAGTCTTACTACTACACTATCCAGTAGGATCCAATCGGTTCACTCTGAGGGAAAACTAAAGGACATAAATGTAATTTTCCATGGCTGATAACTGCAATAAATTGCAGGCTTTGGTGTTTTAAAACAGGAAATCATTTTAGCTCCATTCACTCTCATCATCGAGGATTTGGTCCTGCTGAGTTTCAGCCAATATCTGAGCAACATTTATAAAAGAAAGTGGAATGTCGGAGCAGCAGTATAGATCCCCTTTGTAAGAAAAGCATTTGACTTGCCTGATGTTGTTACTCCTAAATCAAATAGGTCTCAAAGGGTGGAGGGGAGGGGCTAAGAGACGAGGGCCGTGCAGCAGAAAATCGTGTGCTGTATATATGTAGAAGGTTTACTGGTGGAGATTAGAGAGTCGAGCTTCCAGTGTCCGGGTGAATTTCCGCGGGCCAAACGTTGACGCTCACGGCAGCAGTAATAACACATGTCTCGCCGTCTGTGAAGTGTGTGATGATGATAATTCCCCGCTGTCAGCTGTCAGTTAAAATCGGCAGCATACTGTCTCGCTGTCAGGCCAAATCTCTGGGATTATGTTATTATAATGTGGGAGTACAGTAGCCGAGCGTGCGCACACACACGGAAACACCCTGAGGAAAACTGCTGCTTTGTCATTTAAAGACATCTTAATGGACGGCGTGTGATAATACCGCTCATGTTGGGAACAGCTCTGAATAGCAGATGGAGACGATGTCGGAATAACAGCTCGGTGGTTAAAGTCGTCTTTTTCTGAGTTCAGGTCAAAGACGGGAAAAAACAGGCCGAACAGACGGATTACAAATCGGGATTATAACGTAGAGACACCAGCTGCTAATTACAGAGCAACACCTACATGAACGGGGCCCACAGGCCTCTGCTTTTAGGATTAAAGTAACACCAGCGCACAGACTAACATCCAGGCTCCAGCAGCCGTCCTCAAGTTTGGACGAATTCTATTCTTCATTTCATTAAAGACAGATAACGTAACCCAAATTTGAATGTTTTATTTAAAGAAACCCTTTCTGCTCATGCTCAGTGCCAGTTTTTCATGCTTGGAGTCTGGAGCAGCTTTGCATGATTCACAGTTTGAAACTAATTGAGGCTTTACTGGCTTTTTAAAAGTGTACTTGGACACAAATTCTTTAGCTTTCTTAGTTCGGACTCTGCTAGAGCAGCTTTGCATAAGTCCTTGTTCAAAATAAACCATCTTATTCTGAGGCTTGGTGTAACTTTTTAGTTCATCGTCCGGGTTCTCTGCGCTAACTGTGCCAGAATAAAACAGAAATAGCAGACAGCAGGAATAAATGACATACAGTGTAAATATATACAATCAAGGAGGAAACAAAATAGTTGTACTTGGAGGCGAATAGAGTCTGAGTGGCCTGAGTGATGATTCGTGGGTGGGTGGAGAGGGGTGGGGTTTGTTAGCAGTCTGATGGCCCAGGGGAGGAAGCTGTTAGTGAGTCTGGAGGTGTGGACCTGACTGACCTCAGGTGCATCGGGTCAAACAGGCGGTGGGCGGGGCCAGGGCTCTGTGATGGGCCTGCTTTACCTGAAACAGGAAGATGGCAATGGTCCAGGTTAGAGCAGGGGGACATGGCCAAAAATATTTATCACGATATACATTTGAAAATTTGCGATAACGATATAACTGACACGAGACAAAATACTTTACAACGCCACAACTTTATTAGTGCAAAAAAAACCATCAGTGCATTTTCACTTAAACAAGCAGCTGTTTTTTATCTGCATTAAAGTTATATAAAAACATAACAGTGCAAATGCAAACTCCTCGCTGACAGTTTAACCAAAAGGCATTTCCAGTGGAAACTGGCCGACAT